TTCGTACCTATTCACCACTTAGTCCAGACTCACTCCGCGCAGAGACCACGCGAAGCAGGCTCTGATACCACATGTGACAGTTCTTAGGGTCACATCACAAGGTACCTATCAGCTTGCCACCCGCACGCGGGCATCCCCTACGGAGAGTTTCGCTTCGTGACTCTTCACGAACGAGAGGCTCGGGGCTTTTCCAGATGAAGGACTAGGGGTCCCAACTGTCGGCATATGGCTCTGATACCACCTGTGACAGCCCCACCTCACCCTAAGGCGAACCAAAGGGTTCGGCGGACCGCCTGCCCTGCTCTCGCCAGGACTAACGATGCAGACTAGAGCTATCTATTGCGATCCGGAACTTACAAACGAGCGGAAACAAGTTAAAATGGTAAAATAACCCAAAATAAAAAAAATGAAAAAAATGAAATCCGGAGTCAGCCATGAATAGTAACCAACCCGTCACAACCCAATCGAAATAGCTAACAAACATTCATATCTGAACTTTAGCGATTACAATCCAAAATGACATACAAAAGTTTTCACAAGTTAATATATATACATGGTTTGCCAAATCAAAAGAGAAAACGCCCCAAAAGTACATTTAGGATTTTAATACATGAGCTATACAAAGATATGTTCAACTAGCTCATTTTGACAGCCATTTGTCAAATCCAGTCCAAAAGTGTTTATTTTCCTGTAAGGAAAACAAAAGGGAACAGAAAGGGGTGAGTTTGCGCTCAATGAGGTACCAAACATATAGCAGAAAAATCATGGCATTTCACATTTAACAAATCAGATACACATGCCAGATGTAAAGCAAAGGAACCAATGATTCAAATTAGAAGGATACGGGTGGCTCTCAGGAGCCAAATTTCCAGCGCAGTACTTGATCCAAACCGGTTGACTCTCCGTCAACGTATATAGAACCAAAACGTCCGTAGACCCCTCTTTACACCGAATTCCATCCACCAAACACCCCTTTACCGGGCCCGCTCACCGTAACCGAACAGAAATGGTAATGCTCGAGTATACCGGAATCAAGAGTCTCAATACCCAAAAATCCCCGAACAGACTACCGTGGTTCGTTATCTAATCGTCCAGGCTCTTGCCGGCCCGACTCGAATAACTTAGCCACAGGATTGAGCTCATAGGTCATAGAAATCCGAACAGATGCAGACACAGATAACAGATTCAGATACAGATACAGAATAGCAGATTTAGATAGCAGATTCAGACGGCAGATTCAGATAGGCACTCAAAATTGGCATATGAACAGATAGAAGAACGAGTGTGATAAAGTACACCCTCGTCTCAAACAAATTTAACAGATTGTAGAGCAGAAATCAAGTTAAACAGCAATGGAGGGGAGTGGTACACTCACCGGTTCAACTTCAAAAGTTTTCACTTCAGATTGGCCTTAATCGCCAAAAACCCTAAAATAATCAAAATAAACCAATTGAAGGTTTCACATCCAAAATCGAGTAAACGGAATGCACAAGTGAGGCTCGACTACACGTCGTACGCCTTGCCAAATAAATACTAGTGCAAGGGTGGAAAACATGATTTTCTTGGAACAAAAAGATAACATGAAGACCTAGGCGCCAAACAACCCAAAAGTCTTTCATTTCTATCAAAAGGCAAATCCAACTTAAAGAACCAAACGGCCTAGAAAATCGGGCAGCACTTCCCCTAAATTTCTTACTTTTCCAGCCATTAAGGCTTCATTATTTCCTCAAATCAGTCCCAACATCTCACACAAAAGTCATCTCATTTCCCAAAAGCCATTCACTAGGCTCAAAGTAAAAGTTAACTAGGAAATGACCGGAATAAAAGTAAGCCTTAAAACATACAAACAAGTACAATGAGACTCGATAACTGATCATAAATCAATGCAAAATATGACCCCAATAGGGTTCCATGAACATATACAAACATTAGAGAAAACCAGAAAATTCGGAAATGCAATTAGCTTTGGCCCTGAAAAAAATAGTTTTTGACTTCTTTTTGCGGTAATGGCACCAAATGCCCTATGATTATCGGATGAAGGTGTAAGACCCACCATTTTGAAGCTAAAAAGCAGGGCTACAACATCACAGAAGGTCACTCATCCCAGTTTTGAGTGCAAACAGGTCAAAAATGCAAAATACTACATCAAAAACGTAAAACAGATTCACCAAAACGCATTCTAGCGGAAATATCATAACTCAGGATTCTACAAGTCCAAATCCAGAAATTCCAAAACCAGCTGAAAGCTAAGAAACAGGGCTAAATTTCTTCAGAAGGCCTAACAACTAATTCGGAAGCAATCCAGACCAAAACAACCAATAACAGTCGCAAATCCCAATTTCGGGTAAAACCAGAACAGCAATAGTAATTTCGACTTATCTCATTCTACACTACTCCGATTGACCTGAAATTTTGTAGGAACCTATAAAATATCATTCCCTACAACTTTTATGTTTTGAGCTAAGGCCAATTCGGCCTCTATCTATGACCTAAAATTTCGGACAGAATGAAGAACCAAGGAACCCTAATTTTCCAGATTTCTTCCAAAACAGAAATTGATTGCAATTGTCCACTTTTTCCACCTCCTATAGTCATTAGAAACCATATCCAATCATCATAGATAACCACACCATCATACTTATATTAAAACAGAAAAATCCCCAAAAATTACAAAAGTTCGTCAATTCAACCAAAAATCACAATATAATCCATAAAGTGGCACCTTATACCACCACTAAGCATCAATTAAGCATCATTAGAGGGAGGAGAGTGGTACTTCATGACTTACCTTTAAAACAAGAGAGAGAGAGAGCTATGGGTCATCTTAACCTTCCAAATAACTTCACCAATCACCTCAAAATCACTAAGTGAAGAGGTTTTATGGAGTAATTGCAAGTTTAAATGGTTAGATGGTTGAACTTGAGGTAGATTGAAGCTAGAAAGTGGAGTAGAAAATGAAGTTTTTCTCTCTTATTTTGCTCCTCTTAACAGCCGGCCATGATAAGAAAAATGGGAGGAAAAATTGGGTCCAAATTGGTTTTAGTAAAGTTAGAAAAGTCTTGGTCAAATTCTACATCCAATGGGTTTGTGACACTTGGCACTTCTAAGCTTTAATCTTATCTTTTTGTCTCTCCATACTAATCCATATAACAATCTCTAATTATTTCATAGCACCTGGTAAAATAAACCCGGTATCCAAAACTTAACCTAGTTGGCCGAATTTTTCCGAACTTTTCGCACTAGTGGGTCCCCCGTCCGATATATGCTCTTAATTTCTCAAAAACTATTCGATACTAGAAAAATCCTCTAAAAACTATATTTACTCATAAAAATTATTTTCACAATTTTTCAAATCAATAAAATGTGAAAAAACGTGCAATTAAAAGAAAAATAAAACTTAGTACTTTTAAAAAAATTCACGGGCTCTCACAAACTAAGCCAGTATTGTGTCACATAACCTTTTCTGCAAAAAGGAAAAAAAGAAAAGAAGCAACTGTGATGAAAACACTGCCACCACCATGGGATCCCTTTGCCTTGAGAATCATGTAAACATGAGTTTCAATATCGACCAGTTGCTCCCTTAGGTTCAGCCGACAACCCTTCAGAATCTTTGCAACTGTCAAATGTCAATTGTCCGTACTTTAGTATCATAGGACCTTAAATTTCATGACTCTTTAGAGATAAATTATAGGGGATTGTCTTTTGAATGAGACCCAAAAAATGAAAAATATAAACAATTAAAAAAAAGTAGTATTCATCATGCAATAATGCTAATATGAAATAAACAATGATACACAATAAATAAATGAAATAGCAAATAGAATAGTAAAACAACATTGTTGAATTTTTGAATATAGGCCCAAGGATCAAAATTTGGATTCATGTTTCGAGGATGGCCTTTGATGAGAAAACATGCTCCATTTGACCCTTTCGTAGTCATCCATTTTGGAATTCATTGTCGGCAAAAGAACAACAGTATGAAAGAAACCCAAATCAACATAATCACCAGCTTTCAGACCTCAACATCTTTTTCTCTGTTGCTGATTCTCTTGTACTCCAAAAACCCTACCTCAGCGCCCTTCGGGTTTTCACTAAGGTTACCCCCACCCTTTTCATTTTTTTTTGTTTTTGTTGTTGTTTTATTTTTTTTTTTGGTTGTTTGTTTTTTTTTCTTTTTTTTTTCTTTTCCTTTTTCTCTTTTTTTGACTTTTTTTTTTTAGAAGGTGCCCTTTCAGGTTTTCACCTAGAGACATAGACAAGACAATTTTAACCCCAACTGTATCATTGTAGTCATACTCTGATAATGAGTAGCATCAGTGAGACAATCTTCTCTGACATGTTTCAGAAAAGTTTGTATTTACATCATTTGCTAGTTGATTAAGAAATTTTTTTTAAAAAAAATACTGCAAAAGATAAAATTTGGCAATTTTGGTTCTTGTGATTAGGATCAGATAGAGTAGTAAAGGAAATGTTAAGGCTTGAAAGGCTTGACAGTGGATCATATGATGAGTTTGCAATCATTTGAGATAGCATTCTTTCAAAACTTACCCCAATCTAGGGTAAGAAAGAGATAAAATTTGCCCCAATTTAATTCTGACAGAATCTCTATTTTCTTTTTTTTCTCTATTTTCTTCTTTTTTTTTTCTTTTCTTCTTCTTCTTTGTTTCTTTTCTTCTTCTTCTTCTTTTTTTTTATGAAACAAATTGCTCCAGTATTGGGTTAGTGATCTTAAGGGACAGCCAAGCGAAAAGGAAAATAGTTATGAAAAGTCAAAAGGAAAGAAGAAAAATTAGGGATAGAATATCGAAATGGAAAAATGAGAGGAAGTATGCCTGAAATCCGTCTTTTGCAGTATTTTTAAAGAATTTTTTTTTTAATAATCAAATGAAAAATTTTTTGCACATGTCTGCATTGATTGGTTGGAGAAAAACTTGACCGTCCATTTCCGTAAGAATAAGTGCTCCTCCGGATAGCACTTTTTTAATAATGAATGGTCCTTACTAATTAGGAGCAAACTTCCCTTTAGTCTCATCTTGCATTGGAAGAATCCGTTTCAAAACCTTATCTCCAACGTCAAATAAACGGGGCTTGACTTTTTTGTTGTAAGCCCGAGCCATTCGTTGCTGATAACATTGTCCATGACAGACGGCATTCAACCTCTTTTCATCAATCAAAGACAACTGCTCCTGACGTTCTTTGACCCATTCAGCTTCTTCTATCTGAGCTTCCATAAGAATGCGTAAGGAAGGAATTTCAATTTCTGCAGGTAGTACTGCTTCCATTCCATACATAAGAGAGTAAGGAGTTGCACCAGTAGAAGTTCTGATAGTAGTTTTGTAGGCCATCAATGCGTAAGGCAGCTTCTCATGCCAATCCCGGTGTGTTTCAGTCATCTTACGAATGATTTTCTTCAAGTTCTTATTTGCGGCTTCAACGGCTCCATTTATCTGCGGCCTATAAATGGCAGAATTTCGATGTCTGATCTTGAACTGTTCACATAATCCATCCACCACATCATTGTTGAGATTTTTGGCATTATCAGTGATCAACGTCTCTGGTACCCAAAAACGACAGATGATATTATTTCTCAAGAAATCCGACACTACTTTCTTAGTCACATGCTTATAGGATGCGGTCTCAACCCACTTGGTGAAATACTCAATCGCCACTAAAATGAATCGATACCCATTTGAAGCTGGAGGATCAATAGTTCCGATTACATCCATTCCCCAGATCGAATATGGCCATGGAGCAGTCATACTATGCAATTCTGTAGGAGGAGCACGTATAACATCACCATGCATTTGACACTTAACACACTTTCTAACAAAATCTACACAGTCATGCTCCATGGTAAGTCAAAAATATACTGTTCTCATGATCTTCTTAGCCAGTAGATGCCCATTCATGTGTGGCCCACAAACCTCCACTATGCATTTCTTTCATCATATAATCGGCTTCCTCTTCATTGATGCATATCAGAAGGCCCAAATCAGATGTTTTCTTGTATAGTATTTCTCCATTCAAGAAAAACCTTGCTGCCATTCTGCGTAAAAAATTTTTTGCAATAGCATCGGCTTCAGGAGGGTAGGATCCCGTTTTTATGAATTCCTTAATATCATTGTACCAGGAGCGACCATCAATGACCCTTTCCGTAACCAGACAGTGCGCTAGCCTATTCTAAAATTGGATCTGTATAGGTTCAATCACCAGCTCATCTGGATGTTGGATCATCGAAGACAGAGTAGCTAAAGCATCAGCAAAGGCATTACGAGTGCGGGGAATATGTCTGAGTTCCAAATTCCTGAATTTTCTAGCCAAACTAAGCAAGTTACAATGATACAACATAATTTTTGAATCCCGAGTTACCCACTGTTTAAACGTCTGGTGCACAAGTAAATCGGAATCACTGAATGCTATCAGGTCTTTGATCTCCATGTCCAACGCTATTTTCAATCCAAAAATACAAGATTCATACTCGGCCATATTGTTGGTACAAGGAAATCGTAATTTGGCAGTAGCGGGATAGTGCTTCCCTTTAGGCGACACTAAAACTGCTCCAATTCTAGCTCCGAAAGAATTTGACGCACCGTCGAAAAATAACCTCCATCCAGGATACTACTCACTCATGTCCTCAACTGCTCTAATGAACAGAACTTCTTCATCAGGAAAGTAGGTATGCAATGACTGGTAATCATCATTTCTTGAATTTTCTGCCAAATGATCTGCTATGGCTTGACCCTTGACTGCCTTTTGTGTCGTGAAGACAATGTCGAACTCGGAAAGGATCATTTGCCACTTAGCCATACGTCCCGTGGGCATCGACTTTTCCAATAGGTATTTTAGAGGATCAGAACTGAAAATCAAGTAAGTGGTATAACCGAGCAAATAATGTCTCAACTTCTGAGCTGCTCATGCTAAAGCACAACAACTTCTCTCAAGGAAAGAATAGTTGGCCTTATATCCTGCAAATTTCTTGCTCAGATAGTAGATGGCTTGCTCCTTTCTCCCAGACTCGTCATGCTGTCCCAGAACGCATCCGACAGCCTCATCAAAAACAGACAAATACATAATCAGAGGTCTCCCTGGCTGAGGTGGCACTAAGACCGGAGGATTTAACAAATTCTTGATCTTATAAAAAACCCGCTGACAATCTTCATTCCAATCCATCGGCGCATTCTTTTTCAACAGTTTGAACAAAGGCTCACAGGTAGAGGTTAACTGTGTAATGAATCGGCCAATGAAATTGATCTTTCCAAGAAAACTCTTCACATCTTTTTGACTTTTTGGAATGGGCATATCTCGAATTCCTTTTATTTTTGCAGGATCTATCTCTATACCCTTTTTACTGATAATAAAACCCAATAGCTTACCAGCCGGAGCTCCAAAAGCACATTTCTCAGGGTTCAACTTCAAATTATACTTTCTCAATCTTTCAAACAGCTTCTTTAAATCAACCAAATGGTCCTCAACCTTCTTGGATTTAATTATGATATCATCCACATAGACCTCCATCTCTTTGTGAATCATGTTATGGAACAGGGTAGTCATGGTCCTCTGATAAGTGGCTCCAGCATTCTTCAACCCGAAAGGCATCACTCTATAACAAAAGGTTCCCCATGGGGTGATAAAAGAGATTTTCTCTGTCTTCTTCTGCCATTAAAATTTGATGATACCCAGCAAAACAATCACCAAAAGATTCAATTTCGTGTCCAGCAATATTGTCCAAAAGAATATGAATGTTTGACAAAGAAAAATCGTCTTTCGGACTGGCCTTATTCAGATCTCTGTAATCAACACATACTCGCACCTCCCCAGATTTCTTAGGCACTGGCACAGGATTCGATAGCTAGATGGGATAATGAGACACCATGATTATCTTAGCATTGAGTTATTTCACAATTTGTTCCTTTATTTTGAGACTAATTGCTAGTTTGAATTTACGTGGCTTCTGCTTTACAGGTAAAAAATTTGGATCAGTTGGCAACCTGTGAACCACTATGTCTGTAGAGATCCCTGGCATATCATCGTATGACCATGCAAACACATCTTGAAAAAGCATTAAGAATTCAATCATTTCCTCCTTTTGTTTCTTATTCAAGTGAATGCTGACTTTAACTTCTTTAACCTCCGTCTTAGTGCCAATATTGATGATTTCTATTTCTTCTAAGTTGGGCTTGGGTTTCTCTTCATACTGTTTTAAATCCCTTGAAATAGACTCAAATTCTTCCTCAGTATCACTCTCGCTTTGAATTTCAGATTGCATGATTTCAAATTCATGAGAGATATCGAGATTGCAGCCATCGAATTCCAAAATAGTGACATCCAAAGGGTCAAAGAATTTTATTTGTGGCCATCTGAAAATAGAATAGAATATAAGTAATAAATAAATAGCAAATACTGGAGAAATTTTTCATTTCATTAAATTCAAAATGCATCAAGACTTCACAAAAGATAAATACACAGACGTGTTTGCTATTTAAAGATATATTTAACCCAAACCTTTATTTTCGTTTCAGCAATTTTCTTGAACAAAGCAAGTTATATTAACTGAAAAAGAATAAAGGTTAAAAAGATGAAAGCAATTTCTTTTAACAAAAGATCCAGACTACTGTCCTATCTGGATATGATCTAGACAAAAGACAATTCCCTTAAATTTACCGAAATTCCCTTCGAGAGGGAAGGTAATCAGCAGTCCAATTATGAATAGCTCCTTCGGTAATTGGCAAAAATTCTGCATTTTCTGATGGCCCCTCCTCACAAGTAGCCCCGACAAATAGCTGAGACAGGTCCACTTCAATTTTCTCCACAGGATTCTTCGTTTCTGGCATAAGCACCTCTGATGGACGAGGAAAGGTGTGATATAACGGCGGGGCGTTTAAGGAAGTTTGTTTACCCTTCTTTTTAGCTTGTTTTCGAGCTTGCATTTCTCTCCTATCCTTAGCAGTCGGATGAAATCCCAATCCAAATGTATCCTTCTGCGTCGGGATCTCTATTGGCTCCAAAATTCCTTGTAATTCCCGCCCAAGACCCTTTCCTATTTCGTATCCGCCTCGGATCATCTCCCTAGCCATTATAATACTGGCCTCTGGCAAATTTGATTGAGTCAACGACTTATCCCTGGATGCCCATCCCACAGAGACGATGTCAGCAACGTGATGAGACGAGATTGGAGTCCGTTTTCTGTTTTCACCATTAAACTTTGCATCAACGATCATGGTACAGTCATCCTCAACAAACACAGCAATGAACTGATCATTCATAATAAACCTCAACATTTGATGCAGAGAAGATGGCACTGAATTGGAAGCATGTATCCAAGGTCTCCCAAGCAAAATATTATAAATGCTGGAGAAGTCCATCACTTGGCAAGTAACTTGGAATTGAGCAGGGTCTATCTCCAATACCAGGTCTGTTTCACCCATAGATTCCCTCCTTGAACCATCAAATCCTCTAACCACAGTTGCAGATGGACGGAGTTTAATGTCAAGAAATCCAAGCTTGGTAAGAGTGTTCCATGGACAGATATTCAACGCTGACCCATTATCCACTAAGACCCTCGGCAACAGCTTTCCATTGCAACAGACCGATATATACAAAACTCTGTTATGCCCGATCCCTTCTGCAGTCAGATCATCATCAGAGAAGGCAATATGATTAGCAGCAAGTACATCCCCCACAATGTCAGAAAATTTATCCACCGAAATATCTTTAGGGACTTGAGCTTCATTCAGAATTTTGAGCAATGCTTCTCTGTGCAGCTCGGAAGTCAAGAGAAGATTCAGAAAAGAAATCTGAGCAGGCATCCTATCCAACTGCTCCACTATTTTGTATTCACTTCTCTTCAGCATCTTCAGAAAATCTATAGCTTCATTTTCAGACACACGAGGCATGGGTGTCGGAGATTTAACCTTGGCCCTAGATTGAATATCAATATCGGAGTTTTCCACAATTTTCCCAGACCTAGTAATAGTAGATATATCTTCCTTCAAGCAATCTTTACCGCCAATTAACAGACTGGGCTCCTCGTAGTTCCATGGTACCTCTTGCAAGTTATTGACAGGCATTTGTTCTGAAAATTCGAGAATGGCAGGCTCTGATATATCCCATTCAAAAGATGGAAGATCCAAAATAAAAGGAACTTCAGAATTGTCAACCTCGAAAGGCCCTCCTTCTACCATAAATGGCTCCTCTTTTTCAAACACAAAAGATTTTAATTTTTCTTCAGCATTATCTTTAGTTATGGACTCTTCAACAGACAGCAGTTTCCTCATCTCCGCATGGTCAGTCTCCATCACGCCAAACACTTCAGTTTCATCTACAATGTACTGACTGGGGTCGACAAAATCTTCATCAGCGATGATAACCCCCACAGTACTCCCATGCTCAGGTAGAGGATTCTTACTAACATTCGGTCCCTGCTCTCCCTTTTTTCTGAGAAGGATGTCTTCAGAATCAATCATGTCATGAATCTTATGTTTTAAAGCCCAACAATTGCCAGTGGTATGACCTGGACTTCCAGAAGGATAAGCACAAATTGCATGCGGATCATAACCGGTAGGAGGACCTCTGGGATAGATTTTGGGAGGAACAGTGCCAATTTTTCCAACTGCTTTTAATTGCTCATACAACTGATCAATAGGTCGGTCCAAGTTGGTGAATGTTCGAAATTGTTTCTGAGTTTGAATTCCACTGGTTTGCAAAGAATTTTGAGAAAGGTTATTGTTTTGCAATGTTGGTCTGGAATGGTAAATGGGACGAGAGTGATTTTGAAAGACAGGTTGTGGAGTTGGAGGTAAGGGCGAGGTATTCAAATGATTTGGTCGGGAATGATGGAATTGGGTAGTAGTGTGGTAAACTAGTTGAGGATTGGTGTAATACGGGTAAGGAAAAGAATAGGTGGGATGGTTTTTGAGTCTGAAAGACGGGCCTTGATCCCATATAAAAGCAGTATCACCTTCTTTCTTTTTGAATGAGAGCTTTTTCCCATTGTTGTTTTGATTTTGTAGATTATCCAATTGCAACTTTAATGCAGACACATTAACAATCTTCCCTGCTTTGACAAATTCATCATACTCCTCCAATTTGTTAATGATAGCAGCAAATGAACTTCCAGTCATGCAGAAGATCTCTTCAAAATAGGGTGGATCGTGAGTCTTGATGAAAGTACGAACAATCTCTTCCTCGGTCAAATAAGGCTCCACTTTGGCAGCTAACTTTCTCCACAGTTTTGCGTAGGTCTTGTGATCTTTCGATGGCTTTCTTTTCGTACCCTCCAGTGTGGTTCGTGTTGGTGCCAACTCACAGTTAAATTCATACTGCTTTACAAAAGCAGCTGATAGATCCAACCAGGTTTTGACTTCTCTAGATTTCAAATTTGAATACCAATCTAGAGCATCTCCCTCCAAACTTTTCGAAAATAGACGCATAGGCAAATTCTCATCATCCATAAGTTTACCTAACTTGTTGGCAAACATCTTGAGGTGCGTCTTAGGATTTCCAGTTCCATCATACTTACTGAATTTAGGGGTTTTGAATTCCAACGGTAGCTGAATATCTGGGAAAAGACACAATTCATCGTAGTCCAAACCACCATGCCTACTCAACCCTTGATTCTTTTTCATAAAGTCATCAAATCGGTCTAACCTTCTTAACAGATCTTTATCAACGGGTGTAGGTTGTTCTTCCATCGCCGCCATCCCTTGAGATGCCGTATCCAGTACAAAAGGCTCCGTAAGGTGGTGGTGCGGTCCCTGAGGATTGGGGGGAACGTTCAGATTGGTTTGTGGATGGATTTGAGGGATTTGACTACTGGTTGGGTTCACCAATACATAATTCGGATGTATATAGGAAAAGTCTGAATTTAATCAGGCAAAGGTATTTTCAAGAGAGTTAGCGAAAGGAGGAAAGAAAGGTGTTTGGGTATTGGATGTGTGGGGTGGTCGATAGTCTTGTGCAGGTGGGTGATTATCGATAGGTTCTTGGTCATTTGCGATACCACCACTACTATTGTTAGCGACTAACTGATCAATTACACGCTTTTGCGACGCCATCTCAGCACTTAACTCATTGAACTTGCCAAGTGTCTCACTTAATTGAGCTCCCAATGCTGTGAAGTCCGGTGATGTAACTACGGCAGATCTTTCTGAAGTTTCTGGTACTGAACTCATGTTTACAGGCTGTCTCAAGGCTCTATTTCGAGATCTGGTGATGATGGGGCTTCTTTGGGTAGCTATTGTGAAAAATACCTGATAGTGGAGAAAAGAAACTGATTTAGGAGTGGATTTTCTGTCAAATTGCTGTAATTTATTCAAGAAAAAGAAAAAGAAAGAAAAAAACATGGTTAGTAGATATCAAAATAATTCGGATACATGTCCTATGGGGGAGCCCTTTTCTGTCAAGGGTAGGCCTAATATGATGCAACACCTTCGAAGTGAGACCTGTTTATCAAACCTGTGTTTCGAAAAATAACTTTGCAACAGATAAGGATCATTTCATTGATGGATTTCAAAATATCATACATCATCTACATCATTTCTTGAAGTTGATTTCGTACAAGATCATTAAACTTTTTCAATCTATCTATCACAGCATCTTTTGGCTCTTTGGAATAGGGATTCTGCATGCGTTCAGTTTGATCATACAACTTGCCACACTTTCTCTTCAACTCCTGGTGTCTTTCTTGCATTTTCTCACACAGTCTTTTATTCTTCTCTGCTAGACGCTTATTCACTTCCACAGATTGCCTTAATTGTGCATTTTCTCTGTCATTTGCCTCAATGATTACCATTAATTTCTTGACTTCCTCGGACTGTTCCATCAATGGTCGCTCAGCACCAGATTCTCTGAGCCACTCCTCGTATTGAGGGTTAACCAAAGCCATCTGTTTAAGTTGCGGAACATAAGCGATATCCTCATCATCGGAGAGTGTTTTCCAAGCTTCGACAATTGGTATTTTCATCATAATTTTATCTGGACAGATCCCTTTGCCAAAACTGATGGTGAAATCGATCAAGTTAGGTGTAAGTGGTACTCCTTGAATGCGTTCTAACTGTCTGAGAAACCTTTTAGGAGTGTATGCCATGATGCCTTGAGTTCCCAATAGCAGTATAAAATCTAATGACTTGGTGCGCAGAATAGGGTTGAAACAGTCGGTCTAGTCTAGTACCCATCTAATCTTTTGATCTGGCAATACCCTCAGAAAGTTCAGCCATTTTGATGGGTTTCTTGGTAGATTACTTTTGTCAACTCTCTTATGATGGGTAGAGATCCAATTATCCCCAATCAATGGTAGACCATCAAGAGCAGGCAACTGTCTTCGAAAATGTTCCATGGCCCATATATGCAAAATCTGATTTGATCCATAAAAGAACTTTGACCCCTTTGGCAGTTGGTACACGCAACAAAAATGTCAGCCAACACGATCGGTACTATAGAGGTTTGTCGATCCTTAATCCCAAAAAATAAGTCAGACAGGAATTTAGTGATTTTGAAACCAATTTTTTTATCTTTTCTAGGAAACAAATAAATCCCAGCCATCACGAGTCTGTACACCAGTGGCCTCTTACATTCCCATGTTACCCTAGATGTAAATGAAAAATCTTTCGAATACTTATCAAATCCGTCTTTCATTGCGAATCTATCAAACAAAAATTTTACATCTATGCTTTGATCTGACTCTCGCACTACAAACTCTTTTAATCCAGTAAAATGACATAATTCGACCTTGCCCGAAGCAGTTGGAAATATCACTGCTGTACCCTTTACTGGCAAATTCAGAAGACCGGCTACCTCTTCAATGGTCGGAGTCAACTCCTTGTTTCCTATCCGAAATGTTGAACCATCGGGATCCCACAATTGAATTAAAGCTTTTACCAAATACCATCTAATTCAATGTCTTTGAAATCCCCAATTGGTCCAAGGTAGGAGGCAACCTGATTGATCTCACTAAATGAAAGAATCCCTGACCATCTTCGAACCTTCATTGGAACTGTTAACAACTGACTGATTTGTTGAGGTCTGTCCATCTAAAGCATGTAATCTCGATTAAATACCTTACCTACAGGCCTCACTTCTCCAGTTTTACAAGAATTTAAACATGAATATCTCATAGAGGGTTAGTTACCCAGGGAAAACAAGGTTAGTATATTCCTAAAATTGGATTCCCTAAACGGCATTCCCTCTAGGGTTAATGCATGATGCCAGTTTATTAAACACATAAATATGCAATATGACAATTGAAACATGGTCTAAGGGTGCCCCATTTAGATGCCGGGGTAGGCCTAGAATGACATGCATATATATATATATATATACATAGCATTAATGCGATAAACTAAAATTTAAACGTGCTATTTACAAAGGGTGGTCTGCCTTAACGAATACCACGTTAGGACTCTTATTTCTAAGATTTGTGAATGCAGTGGAGACAAAAATCAAGAAAAGTTAGTTCAATCAGATAAATTCACATAACACATTGTAGCAAAGCAATACACAGAGATCAAACAATAAAAGAAAAAGAGGGGTTGGATCCCTCCCCTCGTGAACAGTGTCCCTAATAGGGTAAGACAGACTCTACCCTAGGTAAACTATCATGGATGCATGAGGTATCGGCTCACTAATGCATCTAGACTCGATAGGTTTTAGGTCCCCGAGCTTTCAGACTTGGAAACCAAAGGTCATCAATCCCAAGATTCTTTGTCGGTGGCTCAAACGATTCCCCAAACATTGCCACGTGCACGTTATGCCACGGCCACATGTCCAAGTGAATCTATGAAAAATCCTCAATTTTCGACTAAAAGCTAAAGGCCATCAACCCAAAGCTTAAAATGGAAGATTAAGTGACCCCTCGGATCATGCTACGCACACGTCGTGTCGCGATCACACGTCCAAGTGGGTCGTCTAATCCTAACAGGGAAGAGTAGCGTGACAAGCCACTAAAAGAAAAATAAATGAGGGATAAAAAATAAAATGTATGCACGTATGCTAGTGCTCGATTTGGAGGGGAGGGATCGAGAACCAATGCGAGGTTCTAGGGTAATATTCCCCACCCCAAATGCAAAGCGCGATACGAATAAGTAAATGAATAAACCATTCATCACATACACAAAAGACGAGGAACGAATACGAGTGTGAAACGCAAAACATCCTAAAAAGGGAAAAACATACAACCTAAAACATCCAAATATAATAAATAAAAAGGATTAAAAAAAGAAAAGACAACTAAACCAAATGCTTGGACTCTCTAGCATCCCCAGTGGAGTCGCCAAGTTGTCGCACCCCATTTTTCACGATGGAAAAATAAAAATAAAGGGTATTCATAAGAGATGTGATTTTATTTAAAAATAAGTGAAAAAGGACATAAAATGGGACTTTAAAAAATGCGACAATTTGGGTCCAAAAATTTAGTCTAAAAAGGATTTTTAAGAGAAAGAGAAGTCGCTACTTGGTATTGAGTTTGGGTGTATCAAGTCACCCCAAAAATATTTTTGACTCAAATAAAATAAAATAAAACCCTTTTTGACATCTCCAGGTCTTCGAAAAACAAGAGAAAATGGGTTCGGGAGTCACGGTTGAAGAAAGGGAAGGCAAAGGTTCGATTAACTCAAATCTAAGGCATCCTTTCAACCTAGTCTAAGCTAGTTGCGAGATTTAGTCAAAATTTTCCTAATCTAACCCTTAATTTTATCATATTTGGATGTTTCCTACATGGATGCAAATCTAAATTTATAAAATATCGAAAGGGTCAAAATATCCATTCAAGGGTTTAATCGAACCAATCGCATTAATTGCGAAGGCCAAAATGATTTCTTGAAAGTGTCACGAGTAGAGCTGTTAATCGAACCGGGCAGCTCGCGAGCCGAGCTCGACCGGGCTCGATAAGAGCTCGGCTCGGCTCGTTAACAGAGAGAAACGAGCCGAGCTCGAGCTCTAATAGGTACTCGTTTAATATACGAGCCGAGCAGGGCTCGGCTCGTTTAAGCCCAGTAGGCTCGAAAAATAAGGGAATTTTCGTCATTTCCACGTGTATGTGATAAATGGTAATCTAGTCAAAGACTCAAAGGCATCTCCCGTCCGTCTGTCTGTAGCCCTAATTCATTCTTTCCTCCTTTGGTCTTTCGTTTTCTCCTCCTACAGCCGTCACCCGACTTACCCCGCAGCCTCCATTCTCACACCACCGCACGCCGCATCCCTCAACCTCCATTCTCACGCCGCATCCCTCAGCCTCCATTCTCACCACTAGGCGCCATCCCTAATTTTTTGATTTCCCCTTTCTGTCATCTATTTTCCCATTCCACAGCCGCAGCCGCCATTCTCACGCCGCCGCACCCCGTAGCCTCCATTCTCACGCCGCATCCCGCAGACTTCATTCTCACCGCCAGGCGCTATCCCTAATTTTTTATTTTCCCTTTCTGTCATCTCTTTCCCGTTCCACAGCCGCAGCCACCATACGAAGCAGCGCCATACGGAGCCATCTCGGTAGAGCCAGCCGCCAGGGCCCTCTACTATACCCCAATTCACTGCATTCTAGTAAGTAGCCTTGATGGTTTTTTATCGTAGCCTTGATGTTTTGATAATTATTTGCCGTGGTTGAAATTAGTGACATCTTGATACTTTAAAGGACTCTTCGTGCAAAAGTTTTAGTGAATTGCAGGTACTAAGTGACTTTGTTGTGTATCAGCAAACCTTTTTATGTTATATTATGAGAGACATACTGCTTAGGCTTCTCTGGTGTTATGCTAATATACAGATGCAGCTTAACAGTGCATGAGTAATTGCAAGAGAGTCTGAAATTCTTTGAATTGGGGGAGTAACTTTGGATAGGGTCTCTGAAAATACAAAAATGCTAACCCCTAACATGAGTAGGATAATTACATTTTATGCTTGTGATTGTTTTCTGCCCAACCAATTAAGACCATGTTAGTTATAGATTAAGATACTCTGGTGTTTTGAGGAGGATCCCAAGCTTTAAAATGTTTAGAGTGAAATTGACATAAATCACAGAGGCATACATATAGTATTTACATGGCTACCTAAAATTGAAACACATTTAGAATAAACATTAATCTTTTGAGAAAACCTTTAGCTAAGGGCACTTTGAGTGGAGTCAGGTATGAGTCTCAGAGACAAGTGTGGGTTGAAGGCCGTACTGTATATGTATGTGTAAACATATATAGTTCTATTCGTAGTATATTAAAAGTTATTAAAATCAAAGAGGCTAGTTAGCATCATAAACTGATTTTTTTCATTCTATTTTGAAGCTTTGGTTCTCTGCATTTTTAAGAATCAACTTCTTTGTCCTAGAATATGGTATCTTATGCACTTCATCAAAAGAGATTCTAAGTATAAGGTGAATTCTTTTCCTAAATATTCTGTAATTATAAGGTGGATTTTTATGCAGCAAATTGACTATTAAAAGCCCTTTTATTATGATTAATTATGGCCTTAGCATGTGAATAAATGTCTACCATCCATCTTGGATAGTTGAACAGATAGGTTCTTTCAACATTTGATTGGCGCCTCGCACCTGGATTATTCTCTGCCCTTTTCAGTTTTACTCCTTAAAAAAGGAAGATTCATTTGTCATTTGTCATTTGTCAATTCAGAATCTGAGGAATAATTCGATTAGCAAATATTTTTTAATCACTGACCTTAATATTATTATATCTTTATCACTTTCTTGTGGGTTATTTATACATTTATCACTTTCTTGTGGGTTCCAATTCAAGATCCCTTACTTGACCCTTTAACTTACCAGCTATCAACTCCACAGGTCAGAAAGAAAGAGACAACCTTCAACCTGGGAACTTCACACATATTACCTTTCTTGAGCTGATTGGAATTGACATTTCTTAGATGGATATATCATTTCTTTCCTTGTTTAATATAAATGTCTACTAGAAATGCCACTATACTGTCCCCATGCACAAACTAATTGGAACTATGGATTCAGTATTTCCCTGGAATTCATCACTGTCCCTTGTTTGGATTGCCATTTTAAGAGTTTTTAATTGCTTTTCTCTGTTATTTCATTAATCTGAATGTAAGCTTGAGAATTGAGATAGGAACAAGTTAAAGAAATGTTAAAATTAGCTTGAAGTGGGCATTATTTTTTGAAATCTGTTTTATTACTTTTGTACCTTATTTCTTAGAAATGTTATTCTAAATTTCTGTTTTAACTAATCAGAATCTGTATTGGTTATTAAATGTTTTTGATTAAGGAATGTACAGCTCTCCATTCAACTCATTTCAAGGCTCATCATCAAGTCCTACGATGGAGCAAAATAATGAAGACGTGGAACAATTGAATTACAACGAAGAAAGAGCTGATGAGATGAGTGAAGAAGAAATAGAAATAATAGAAAATGATAGCAATGAAGGAGGACAGCAAGTAGATGGAGATGGAGGAGTTGATCCTTTTGAGAAAAAGCAAAGGAAGAAGAAATCCAGCATATGGGATGAAATGACTGAACTAGTGCTAGATAATGGGACGGTCAAAGTGAAATGCAACCATTGCAAGGAGCTTTTCACCAAGAGTACAACCGGAGCCACATCTCAGTACAAGAGACACCTGACTTCTTGCCTCCAAAGAAAGATGGCCATTGGGGAGCAAAGCAAACAAAAGCAACAAGTGCTTTCATTCACCGAAGGTGGAAGTGATGGTATCACTTCCATCACAAATTTCTCGTATGATCATGCCAAGGTAAGAGAGCTTGCGTCACACATGATTCTTGCACATGAGTACCCCTTTTCTATGATGGAGCATGTAGTTTTCAACAAATTCATGAAAGCAGTTTCTCCGTTTTATAAAAAGATTAATCGGTAGACTGTTAAGGAAGATTGTATGAGTACTTATACAATTGAAAAAAGGAAGCTGAAATCATTGTTGAAAGGTACTGGTAGGATTAGTATTACAACTGATTTGTGGAAATCTGGTCAAAAAATTCAATATATGGTTGTGACTGGTCATTTTATTGATTCTGATTGGGTGCTTCAAAAACGTGTATTGAATTTTTGCAATGTTCCTCCTCCTTATACTGGAGTTATTATAGCTGATACTCTAAGTAAGTGCTTCATTGATTGGGGGATTGAGAATAAGGTTTCTAGCATAACTGTTGATAATGCTTCATACAATGATGTGTGCATTAGGAGACTTAGAGAGGATTTTTCTCTAAGAAAGAGATTAAGTATTGGAGGAAAAATTTTCATGTTAGATGTTGTGCACATATACTTAATCTCTTAGTGCAAGATGGTTTTGGCCAACTTGGTGGTGTGATTGATGTTGTTAGAGAAGGGATAAAATACTTGAACAATTCAGAATCTAGGCTTCTTGAATTTGCCAAAATTAAAAAACAGCTTCAGTTGCCCTCTAGAAAACTAATTTTGGACTGTCCAACAAGGTGGAATAGCACTTATTTGATGTTAGCTTCAGGTTTAGAGTTCAAGGATGTCTTTCCAAGATATGCAGACATAGACCCTGGATTTCACTATGTTTCTACTGATTTTGAGTGGATGAAAGTGGAAGAAGTGTGCAAATTTCTAGGAATATTTCATGAAATCACTGATATGATTTCCGGGTCTGAGTATCCAACAACTAACATTTTTCTTGTGGAGCTCTATAGGATTAAAGAGCTTTTAAATGAAAAAGCTCTTGATCCTTTTGAACATATTCGAGCAATGGCTGGAAGTATGTCTACTAAATTTGATAAGTATTGGGGGGAAAGTAATGTGCTGCTATCTTTGGGTGCAATTTTGGATCCGAGATACAAAATATTCCTTATTAATCATGCTTTTCCGGTGATTTATGATGAGGATGCAGCTCCTAGATTCATGGCTGAGATTAGAGACATTCTTTATGAGCTTTACAATGAATATGTTGATTGTCATGTTGTTTTCCATTCTGAACAACAAAGGTAGGTTGTAAAAAGGAGACAAAATGAAGGTTCTACTTCTTCTAGTAAGAAACATAAAATGACTACACCCGCCGTTTTAACTGGCAAAGAAAAGTTTCACATGCATGTAAGTGAAATTGATAGGGCTCCACCAGAAAAATCAGATTTAGATGTTTATTTAGAGGAAAGTAGGTATGCTTGTGATGCAAGGGCAAATCTGGATGTTTTGGGTTGGTGGAAAGGAGAAAGATTGAGATTTCCCATCTTGTCGAGATGGCTGCCGATATACTCTCCGTTCCTGTTACCACTGTGGCTTCAGAATCTACCTTCAGCGCTGGAGGGAGAGTAATTGATGATCGACGAGCTTCTATGTCGGTTGAGACGGTGCAAATGTTGCTTTGCGGGAATGACTGGATCCGCAGTCTTCATGGCCTAAAGAATAAGTCTCGTGTAAGTAATTGATTGGATGTTTTTGTTGTTGTTACAGTTGCCTTATTTCTGATTTTGATGAATTTTTTAACTTTCATACTTTTATTCTGTAGGAATCACTTGATGTGGCCGAATCAATCACATTTGAAGAAGTTGAACTTCCTGAATCATTCAATGACTAATTTGGTGGATGTTGTCCATTGATGTTGCTTGGGGACAGTTTATGTAATTTTTTATGTTGTAATCTGATCTGGTTTAGACAGTTGATGTTGCTTGGTGGCTGTTTATGTAATTTTTCATGTTATAATCTGGTCTGGTTTGGACATTTTGGCTTGGACATGTTGTAATCTGATCTGATTTGGATATTTTGGTGTGGACATGTGGTAATCCGATCTGGTTTGGATTACTGGTGGCTGTTGATATCGTAATGTGGCTGTTTATATAATTTTTCATGTTGTAATGTGGACATTTTGGTGTGGACGTGGTAATCTAACCTGGTTTGCTGAAGTTTTAACTTCTTGTATTGTCATTTGGTGTAGTTTTAACTTCTTGCTGCAGTTTAAACTTCTTTTAATTTGATGTGGTTTGGACATTGTAATCCCCCTGTGGACATTTTGTTTCTCCATTTGATGGTTTTTGCTGTAGTTTTAACTTTAGACTCTGCCTTGTATTGTCATTTGGCATGGCTTGTATTATCATTTTAGCTTCAAATAATAAATCAGAGAAAGTGTATCTTCTTGTGATATGGGCTCTCCCGTAAACGAGCTCGAGCTTCGAGCTCGAAAAGCTCGACTCGAGTTTTTCGCGAGCTCGAGTTCGAGCTTCGAGCTCAGCGGCTCGATTTCAAAACTCGAGCTCGAGCCCGAGCTCGAGTTTTCTATCAACACATCGAGTCGAGTTCGAGCGCCTTGTAAAGCTCGAATGACTAATCGAGCGAGCTCAAGCTAGCTCGATTAGGGGTTCGAGTCGAGCTCGATTGTCCTATGCTCGAGCTCGACTCGGCTCGTTTAACAGCTCTAGTCACGAGTATGCGAATGATGAAATTAAAATAAAAGAAAAGAAATTAAATTATATACATATAAAAGTGATCAAAGAAAAAAGGAATGCAACATAAAGGGTACGGGAGGCAAAAAACTCGTGACATAATTTTCTTATACATGGATTAATAGGGTATTTAAACTAAAAAGTTATAATCACCCATTTCTCATGTTTGAAAAATAATTATCCTAACATGAACAAGCAAATGAACTAGTTTAAATGAGATGCAATTCTAAATGACATGATTAGCACCTATAAAGGGTAGGGGATAATATAGTAGGGAATATCATGCAAATGAGAAAAGATTCTAAAAATGAAAATATGCATGAAAATGTAGTGAATAGCACACAAAGATGAATCTAGCGCAAGACGACCTAAAGGGTCTAGCGTTGGACTAGCCTATTTCTAAAAATCATTACTAGCGTTGAACTAGCAAGTAAGCGGAGGGAGAAGTTACAACTAGCGTTGGACTAGTGTGGTGACGTCATGCATTAACAATTCATAGTGAAACAAATAAAGTATAAATTAAAACAAATAAACACATAAGAGCACGTAGCATATAACACGTAAACATAATATTTAGATGCCAAAATCCTAAGAAAAGCGGATAAAACATATAACACATAAGCCACATAAACACGCAACCTAGCTATTATATCGGAGAATCTAACTACAATCTAAAATGGGAAAGATATGATAAAATAAAATTAGTTATCCTATCTATTACATTTTTGAGGTATTTAAATGCCTCTCGAATAAAAATTAACTAAACAAAGATAGTATAAGAAAATTTAAATGAACATTTAAATGCAATAAATAAAGCATATAAGAATATATAAACACATAGGAACACATAAGAGCACGTAATTGACATTGAAATAATAAAAATAGGGGTACCTCCTGTTTGAAGTGGTGACTAAATGGAGTCAAATTATCCTATTTATACTCACAATGAACAAAAAAATCATGACACCAATTTAATTGAAAAAACAATAATAATAATGAAAATTCACCTTAATATGTCAAACGTAAATAAATTTAAGAATATCTAAAAATTGCAAGTTAAATATATTCAAAAGTAACATAATTAGCTATTAAAGAAAAGAAACAATCACAATAAAATGAGTCAAAATTCACTAGGGACTGAATTATAAAAATTAAAAATTTTTAGGGACAAAAATTATATTTTCCAAAGTTCAGGGGTCAAAATTAAATGAAAGATAAAATTCAAGGACCAAAATGCAATTAATTTAAGGACCTACATGCAAGAAATTTAAATGGTCTGGGCCGCAGTGAAACTACTCCAAAGATCATGGGGCTAAAATGCAAATTTCGGTTTCTCATTTGGGAGAAAAAAAGGCCATCGGGCCGTCATTTTTATTTATTTGGGCCGGATACTACCTAAACCCAGCCGAAACCCAAAAGAAACGAGCAAGCCAGCCCGTCTTTGATCCCTCAAGCCCAACCAAAAAAGAAGCATGGGTTTGACCTTCTAGCCCAACCGAAATTAAGAAACAAGCCCACTAAAAAAATAGCCCAACCCACTTTCCTTTTTTTTTTTTTTTCTTTTCTTTCCTTTCTTTTCTTTTTCTTCTTTTCTTTTCTTTCTTTCTTCTTCCTCCACTTCCAGCCGTTTCCTTCCCTTCTTCTTCGGCCAGCTGAAGAAGCTTCAGGGCCGCCGGCGGCACCACCGCCGGACTACCGGTCGCCGGTGACCTCTCCGGTCGCCAAAATTTCTCAAAATACACCTCTCCACTCCAATTTTCGCGTAGATTCCATTTCCGGATTTAATTTTTACAAAATATGATCTGAAAGTGGCCAAAATATCAAAATACATTCCAGTTTTTATTTCTTTAAAACACCCAAATCTTCACCAAAAAATATAAAATTTATACTACAACACTCGTGATTTTTACAACCTAACTATCAACTAACATCAATGAAAGTAACAATAGATATGACAAAATTAAACCAAAACAGTCCAAAAAATAACAAAAATCCTTCAAAACTTTTAACACTCAAAACTCCAAAAATTTTTGAATAACCACACCTTTTCAGACCTACACTAGCAAACGGTCACCTAGTTGACAAGAAAACATGTACAATGTTAAGCTTTTTAATTCGTTGGTCATTTTGGCATTTTTTTCAAACGGTTAATATGCATGCATGAGAAACATTTCCTTTTCCTTCATCTAGTTCATGTCATTTCCCAATTTTCAGCAATGCAACAACAACAATACAAGGCAGCCAGCAGAAACGAAAGAAAACTGAACAATGAAGCATGGATTTAATGTGCTAGACAAAAACTAAAAATTACCTCAATGTAGGTGTTTGTGAGGTTGAGATGGAACCGAGAGGAGTTGGGGAAGATTTTTTTTTTTGCTTCTCTGTTTCTTTCCTCCGCCCAAGTCCGAGAGAGAGAGAGTGAGGGGTCAGGCTGCAAAATTCCGAGAGCTTCCCTTCCTCTTCTCTCGTGCGTTTCTTTTTTTTTTTTCCTGCCTCTGTCCAGTGAGTCCAGAGGGATTGGAGTGCTTTTTTTTTTTTTTTTTTTTTTTCTTTTTGTGGCTTGTCTTCTGTGAGAAAGAGCCGAGTGAAGAGTGAATTTGTAGCCAACGTAGAGCTTTGTGTGTTTTGTTGGTCCAAAATGATTATTTTTACCAGATGACAAGAAAGATCAAGGAAGTTGAGTGTAGGAATGAGTTAAGTGTTTTTTGGTAGGGAAAATGATGAAAATGTGTAAGTTTTGTAATAATTTGATTTTGATTTGATTTTTGATTTTTTTTTTTTAAAATAAACCTGCAAAAATGAGAAAATTACACATTAATAATAATAGATAACTTATTAAATAGATAAAAATTCAGAAAAACATTAAAAATTGACAAAAATTTGGTGTCTACAAAACCTATTTACAAAACACCACCTTAGACATAAAACAAGGTTCTGATAAGCACACCAAAAAAAAAGACTAAGGTTCACATGTTGACATTTCAGATGAGGTCCCAGACTCATGATTCCGTAATCTGGGCCAATTATTCTATTATGATGAGGTCCATTTCGGATGGTATAATAAGCCTAAGTGCAATGATAGGACCATATATCTAGTTCGGGCACGGGATTATGGCAGATTTACTCCTTCATTTTTATCTTTACCATTTTTTTTTAATGTAAGTGAAATGATTCGAATTTAAAACCTTTCATTTTTACTCCTCTCAAACCACCGAATCCATCCCATCCCTCTCCCCTTATTACTTTTGCACAACTTCCATTCATTTGTTTCTTAGTGAAGTCAGCTATGGAATGTAATCTGCAATCAAAATTTTGGCAAATGTTGATGTAATTAGCCCTTAATTAGCATCTTGTAATAAGAGAAGTCGTTGCTTGACTTGAGAAATTGAAAGCCTCTTGTTATCAGCCCTCATGCCTAATGGTCTGCGTATCACATGACAAAAGGCTCAAATCCCCAGCAATTCAATACAGAACATATCCATGCATTTATGGGAGCTTGTTTAGCGTGAAAGTTTGTGATTTTAACCCCAAGGCTTTTGGTTGGGCACTTGGACATCAAACAAATAAGCCTGGCCAACTCTTCGGCCTTAGCACAGGCCCATACAAGTTGATCAATAATATGATATCTTATGCTGACCTCGTCCACAACCAACCAATTACCCATCCTATCCCTGCATTATATATATATATAATATCATATTCCTCCATTTGGGAAAGTTTGTGTTTTGCCGTTTCTATTTATTGCTATGAACGAACTAGAACATTTGTTTTATATTAAGGAAAAACATAACATAAATCTGTTTGGTGCATAATACCATTTTAAACATAAAAAAGTAATTATATTTGGTTGGACTTGTTGTGTGGAAAAATGATGAATGAGTTTAAAGTTGTGCAATGTTAAAGTTAGCATAAAAGTAAATATGGATCGGGCTACTAGAATCGACCCAAATGGCAATATCAAATCAAATATTAATATGTTTAGTACTTACACATGTTCAAATCAAGTAAAATTTTATGAAATAATTATCTATTTGTTAAATAACATATTTATCTTAAATCACTATTCTTTAATTAAAAAATATGCAAATAAAAAGTTAGCAAATATATATAGTAAATTAATAAATTTGGCATTTTTTGC